TTTTCAGTGGTGTATAAAGACCTTACATAATGAACCATTATGTTTTTATTACCTTAGAATGAGCCTTTTTTTATGTAAATAACCGGGAACCCCCTTCTATGGAGCTTGGCGTATTTTGTCGTCATGTTTCTACCGTAGCCCACAAGGAACAAACAGCACGTTTTGTCATCACGGCGTTCTTCTTCTGCTAGTATAATTCTGGTAGTGTAGATGCCCGTCACTGCATTGAATATGTACAAAGAAGAAGAAGAGGAAATATTAATAACAACAATATGCAGTCTTTGAGTAGTCCGGTTTATTATAAGTAAGAGGAGAAGTGACATTTGGACAAATGAACAGCACACGTGTTATTTAGCACGAGAGCCAACAGACTGTGAATCTTAATACCATGAAGCCAGACGGAGTCGGGACAGATACAAACAGCTGACAGCAGAAAACAGGGATGTTGTGGATTTTCCCAGATGGAAGGCTATAATGTGAGACAGATGTTTTCAAAGAGGTGCTGAAGCTGTCTGTTTTCTGCTGGACAGGTAATTAAGTTTGCCGGACTTTAGCGATGCAAATGAAAACTGTTGATAGCTTTAGCTAGAAGCTGGCCATAATCACCGAGAGATGTGGCGTGTTTCTCTTTCTCAGAATTGGCAATAAAATGGCAGCTTACAGCTGGAGGCTCAGATCAGACAGCTAAACCTTTACTGTGCTGGTAGAAAAAAAATGTTGTCAGATTAATTTCATGTACACTGAAAAAAGTCTAACATTGCTGTTGTTCATTGAATGTGTATTTTCTCTTTTTTTTTCAACAACCGAGGAGAACCAGCAACATTGATACTGGTGAGGAAATATTGCGAATTGCACCCGCCCTCCCCTACCCAAGCGAGCAGTATAGCTACGGTGCCTGAGACAGGACAAAGATGTCATCTATGAGATAAAAGAGAAATTAGGTTTCTTTAGATAGATGTGTTAAGAAATTATATAAATTATGGAAAACCAAATGTTTTTTTGAATGTTATTGTTACTTTTTCATTAATAAACAACAGCCAAATGAAGAAATGAAGTACTACATGATGTCTCAAACTCTTGTAATACATTATTTTACATCTTGGGAGGGTTGGCTCATCTGGACTAACATACCAAAGTAAATGAAGAAACACTATCACATCTAGTGCATCAAGTATGACCACTGACAGATGACAGGACAATGTAAGCCTCACTGTTTCTGCACCACAGTCCATTATAAACCACATAATACATGAAGTTTACAAAGGCATTGGCTGGTGAGAATCAAGGCTCTTCTGGCTTTGCTTAATTAGATAAGCAATCTGCAAATATTACCAAAATGTCTTTAGAATTTTTTTAAATACAACAGAAACTCAAAGTAGCGCTTTGAGCTTAACAGCCATAATTCCAGCTTGTGGTAAAACGGTGCAACGTTTTAATGGGCATTTAGCATGTGAAAGTATATATTACATATTTGTGTGCAGTGGGACGCAATATCCAATAACATTTTTTAATGCAAATTCAGAAAGTATTTATTATTGGTCACTTGATAGGCACACGGTCTTGTTATATATCTCCATTAGCAGTAAAAAGAAATACATGTTTTCCACCAGGGCAGTAAAATTTAGCTGCTGATCTGAGCTTCCCTGCTGTTACCGTTTCATTACCAATAATATTCATCAGCTGTTTGTCTCAGGAAGGTAACGGCGCATTTCTGTCCACTTAACAAAGCCATAACAGAGCGCTGGAGAAGAACTACATGAAAAAGTTTAGCTGGCTCATCTGAGCTTCGATGCTGGAAGCTCCCGTTTTATTGCCAATTAGCGACCAGCTGATTCTCACAAAGTAACATACAAAGCCAAAAACAGAGCGCTGGACAGAGAGAGAGAGTCACTACATGAAACCACAAGCCGAAGCACAGTGCTGGAGAATAAAACAACAATCCAACTAACAAGAAATGTTTTTCTACCAGTCAGCCAGCTCATTTGTGATAATTAGGCCATCCTCCTAATTCCTATTAATACTTTTGCATTTAACAGTCCTAAATAAATAATGATACAAAAATATTATTATTATTTTCTGTATACTAAATGCTCAGTAATTTTTGAAGCCAGGGCTGTAGTTTGAAAAGCTGAAATAACAGAATGCATAATTTAATGTAAATATGACAAATATGTGGGATTAAAAAAGTGGTTTCACTGGGTACATTTTGTCCTTATGGGTCTGTATTTTGGCAACACAGTTTATTATAAACTTATTAAGAGCTGAGGTTGAACTTCCAAGAAAAAAAAACATGCAGGTTATTCCTGTCGGTTAGGAGAGAAAAAATCAAAATTAGCATCATTAGCCATTGGCTATTAAGTGTAAAGCTGCTTCTCTCTCATCCCCTCTTCCTATGCCTCTGTCATTCAGGGCACCATGGCAGATATTGCAACTGTTCAACTGCTGGTCATCTTGAATGAAGACAACAAGAATGAAGCTACGCCACGGGATTCCTGACTCACGGGAAGAGCACATCGAAGAGGTGAAGAATGCATGTGGATTAGGAGGACACATAAGGCTGCAATAAGACGCTGCTTTTGGGAACATATTTGTGAACTCTACAACTGTAATTAAGGATCTTATAATTATCAAAGACTTCCAATTAGACCCCGAAACCACAACTAGCATCCCTTCAGGTGGACAGGGCCGTGAAGACTCCTTTTCGGGATCTTCACATACAGATGACCAGGGTACCCCCAGGATTCTCAAAGTTAAATTTAAGACTTTTTAAAAACTTTTAAGACCCCGCAGCTCCAGGATTTGTCTCTTCTGTTCATCTGAAAGTGATTTCAAAAACATTTAAAAGGTGGTAAAACTTCCTAATTCAATGTTACTACAAATGTGAAGTCATCAAATGACAATTTAAATTAAGTTAACAAATCTGTGGGCTTACAGTATTTTTGTGTTAGCCATTACATTGAAATTAGTTTATTTAAAGATGATCAAAACACACGGTCCATATGCTGCCCTAGTAGTTGATATTTTCACCCTGTAGCACACACTGCCCCACCACAATCTGTAATGTCAGAGTAACTTTTTTTTGCATTAGACTGATGTTAGTACATCCAAAGACCTCACAGATTAGGGTGGGGCAGTGTGTGCAGCAGGGGGAAAATATTTACCATGTGTTTACCTTGTGTTTAGCTGATAGTAATGCTCGCACATCAGAAAACGTATACCGGTAACTTGGCCATGGGTACTGCATGATGTCTTAGGAGTTATGCTACTATTCACAGCTCCATGATTTGTCTTTTGATGTAATCAGTAGTCCTTTTCTGGTGTTCAGCTGACAGAGACTGTTCATCTGCATACATTTAAAAATAAATATGTTCTAAAGGAAAGTGTTGTAGTCATTGATCAAAATGTAGTTAAAGCTATTTTCTATAATTTTGATTTACTATACATTTTAAATAATGCCAACTGGTATTTTTTATTTGAGACAACATAAATTAATTTGCTCTAACCTAAAATTATTAGGTTCAAAAAATGGTTGCATGGAGTTAAAAAGTTCAGGTTAAGCTGAATAAATTAGTCAATAACAGATATTTTGTGTGATTGATTACTTCAATATTTTTTAATTAATCCAAGGTTTAAATTTTTTCAGTGTAGTTATTCTACAGTGTTCTCTTATGGCTTTGTTATGTGGACAGAAATGCGCCGTTACCTTCATGAGCAAACAGCTGATGAATATTATTGGTACTGAAACAGTAACAGCAGGGAAGCTCAGATCAGCAGCTAAACTTCACATTTTACTACCCTGGTGGAAAACGTGTATTTCGTTTTACTGCTAATGGTGATAAAGGTCACGACCGTGTGCCTATCAAGTGACCAATAGAATACTTTCTGAATTTGTATTATATTATTATTATATATTGCTTCAACTGTGCACACAAATTCGCAATCCGCACCACTAGAAGTCACTAAAACTTACACACTGAACTTCAAAGCTTCCCCACTAGAGAACAGTGAAACATCACAGATACTGAAACAGGATGCCCAGGACAATTGATTAATTAAGCATAAGAGGTCCAGATTAAGTCCACGAAGTGTCAGTAGCTCACATTGGGGACCAACATCTTTGACATATCTTAATAGCAACTAATTCTTGAAAACAATTTGTTTTGACTGAAAAAAGACTCGTAATTAAGGTGTTGCACAAACTATCGATGATTGGCTTTTATTCCGAAAAGCTTCACAGTAAAACCTCGACTGCTTCCATGAATGACCGACCCCAAAGAATTTAAATGGACTAAACTGTCATCTTTATATCAGCAACATCCCAAATCATAATAATCTGTTACACTGTGGCCAATTTCACCTTAATAGTGACAAGAACTGAGAATGTGAAGAATAAGCCAAAGCAAAAAAACACATTTGAATTGTATTTGTCTTTAAAACAAATAAAATAAAATTATAATCTGAAAAATAAGCAGTAAAGCTGAAATCAAAACCTTTTTCACATCAGTGTTTCATCTACAGAGTTGTCCAACAGGTCCATCACTTGTTGTGGAAGCTGGCTGTTAATTTGAATCAGCCACTGGAATTCTTGGAAAAAGTAACATCTAGCAAAGTGTGCTACAAATTACCTTATGATTGATTTCAATGTGTGAAAATGTGAACTGTAGGGGAGAGCAGGGGCCAAAGTACCATTTTTCAGAAAAACCTGATTTTAAAATATTACGTTGTAGAATGTGATATATTTTTGCTGTGGTCACTAATGGTCTATCAATATCAGGTGGTATTACGACTTCCGTATATTTTCACTTTAAACATAAGCGGCACATTGTTACTTTCGACCCCATCAGTTGGGTCAAAAGTAACACAAAGGAGGGTTGAAAGTAAGGAGGGTCAAAAGAATATAAATATACGTGACTATTTTGTCCTTTATCTTTGCAAAAAATTTATAAATTACATTTTCATTTTATTATCTATTTACAGTTAAATGTTTCAAAAGTAACCCAACCGTATACTTGTTCAAAATCTTTTTTATTGGCAAAGTCAATCCATTTTATAAAACATTTCTTCAACAATATGAACAATATGAAAATGAATATTCATAACATAAATTTAAATTCTCAAAATAATGCAAACATAGTCTATTTCTATCCAGCTGTTTTTATACGTAATTTCAAAATGTGCATGAAAACATCTGGCTGAATTAGACCTCTGTCTTTCTGACCCTCACTCTTGGCATAATCTGTTGCTTAATGAGTTACTTTCGTCCCGACAGGAACTCCTGACATATCAACACGATTTATTCTTACACTGAAAAACTCTGACAGGGCAAACTTCAGGGTGTGTTAAAGCACTAAATAACCTGTAGATTAATCATTACTGTGACACATGAAATGAGAGACACAACTTGTACTTCGAAAAACAGTACTGCTTCAGAAATTTACTTGCCGTGCTTGAAAACAGTTTTCCGAAGACGGCCACGGGAATCAATGACAAAATCATGCAATATTTGGCGGCTCCATCAAGGGTTGTGTGCTCAAGGTTCTGTCACACTCGCTCTGAGAAAATTGCCTTGTTACTTTCGCACTGGTTTACCCCTACATTGAGTAAAATGTCATGATGCTTTTATTCACTGTCTCTGTTTTGAACAGACTTTATTGGCTTTGTCAACCAGGACAGGTGCAAACCCAGAAGCTCATGAGGAATTTTCAAAAGTTATTTATTATGTTTATTGGTCCTCATATTATGTAATAAAACTAATATTTAACTCTACTGGAACTAATACGCTCACATTGTTTAAGCAGTAAGTTAAGACATTAAGTCACAGACAACCTGATCTAAACAATAAATCACGTCTGAAATGTCGACATGATTCAGTTCAACCTGCCAACACCACCTTCTTCTAAACTTTCTGCTACATGCTGCTGCTGTCTGCGCTGCTGACTCCACCCTGCTGCTGCTACTGAAAACTGAAAAGGAAAACTTTTGGAGTTGAAGGCAAATGGATTCCTCCACAGCCTCGCTCTCTACAGTGATATTTCAATGATGTCCTACTTTGTTTCCATGAGGTGAGTCTGGTTCAGCTGCATCTGAAGAAAATAACATGAAACTTGTGTAAAGTTAGAGTTTTAAATTTAACTGTAAATCTGAAGGTAGCCTGTTGTATTGGATGCAGAGGCTCTAACCTGACTGTACCATGTCTTTGCTCTGTGTCTTATGTCTGTGACGGCCTTCAAGTCTGAGACGTTCTCATAGGAACTAACTGATAGCCTAAGTCTAACCTAAGTCTAACTGATGGGAGAGACGACAAAGGCTCAAACCTGCAATGCTCCGTATTTGTATAGCGCCTTTCTAGTCTTTTCGACTACTCAAAGCACTTTTACATCTGCATTCACCAGTCACACACATTCATACTGTGCTCAAACAGAAACTAACATTCACACACATTCATACACTAACGGAACAGCTGCCAGGGGTTCAGTATCTTGCCCAGGGACACGGGGATTGAACCGCCGACCTTCCGATTAACAGGCAACCCGCTCTATCTCCACCCCACAGTTTCGAAAGTAAATTATTTGCTGAAATACTGTTATGACCAAATGCTTTACTGGTTTCTTCTTAGCAAGTTGTATTTTAAACATAAATTCACTTCACACTTTCCAGAGCATTTATGAGCCAAGTTATTATAACTGTGATTTAGGGGACATTTTGTCAACAGGACCTCTCTCTCACCTCTATCGTCTCTACATGTTCATTTGGTTCAGAGGTGGAGCTCCGAGTTTTCTTCTTCCTGGATTGAGTCCAACAACAACAAATACAAATTTTAAAAATAATGAAATTCAAAACACTAAAATTAAAAGAAGTTTGAAGAATAAAAGAGCGGTGACTGAACTGATGGATTGTGATTGTTTTACCTCGTCCACAGATTCAGGAGAAGCAGAGGAATCAGCATCAAGACCACCAGAGTCAACCTGATGATATTCAATATCATTGTTGAATTCCCTAGAAATACAGACAGATATGCAATTTCCCTCATTAGCAGGATTACATTAATAAATCACTTTCCCAGATGATACTGTCTGTTAATCAGTCAGTCAGTGTGATCCACTTCTGACATGATGGAGGTTTCTCCCTGAACACAGCTACAGAAATTTATTTATTATATTTATTTTTTGTTACATGAGCAATGTGAGTGAGAACGTGCTGTTTTTTTCATATTAACATGTGAATCAGGTCTGGTGCAGTAAACATTTGTGTATGCAGGTGAATGCAAAAACTTACCTGCCACAACAATCAGATGTAAGGTGGAGTTATGACGTCCTCTTCTGTTCTGGGCTTCACAGTAATAATTCCCACTGTGTTCAGCTCTGAAGTCAGTGATGGTGAAGTTCTGTCCTGATGCTTTTGGTGAGTCTTCATTCTCCTTGTACCAGGTATAATTAGCTGCTGGGTTAGCATCACTGCTGCAGGTCAGAGTCACTGAACTGCCCTCCACTATCTCAGCAGAGGGACTCACTGACACAGAGGGAAGATCTGAAGCATCTGGAGAAGATCAAATAAATGAACAAACATGAGGACAGATTTATTTGTGTTGTGTTGAAATGACTAATAGTTATGTGTGTGGAAGCATCTGAAACTTCAGAAAATATGTGTCTTGATGGGTTGTGAATTATTTTAGAACATTATAGCCTAAATTTTTATCATTAATTACTACAGAAGAGCGATGGTGGTCTACATTGTCATTATTTAAAGTGTTATTTTATAGTGTAAAGTTAAAGATCACAGTGTTAAAACTCCATAGCTCTGAGTGTGTGTGTGAGCAGGCACGTGTGCTTTGGGAGCAGAGTGAGCACAGCAAGGCATCATCAAAAATACCAGCAAAGGACTATGTAGAAGCAGAATTAGTGAAATATAGTATAGTAATATAGTAAGAATGTCCTGTCTATAGCAAACAGCACAAGAGACACCAGATTATTCCACAAAGTCAGGTTTTTGGTTAAAATAGCATGATCAGCAGAGGGCATGCCTAGGACACAGAGAGGGGGAGCATTGCAGACAAAAAGTTAGACATCAGTCAAGAAACAGTCATCAGTGATTATCCTTATTCAGTATTAATCATTTTTAATCATTTTAATCAGTCTTACTCATTTTTATTAACTTTAATCAGTATCAATAAGTAATTCTTAAATCATAATTTTTTTAAATTTTATCATTAAATAGTATTAATCATTAATCACTCTTAATCATTTTCTTTTTACATAGATGTGCTTTGGTTTTTACTTATAAGTAGTGAACTGTAGTCATGAACACAGAAACAGATCCTTGAGTGGGAGGAATGACTGCAGGAAGAGGCTGCAGATGTTTCACCTTGTCCAACTGTCATCTACTGTAGATTATGACCATAGGAGAGGCTGCAGGTGTGCAAAATCTGCTGACACTGTGACAGTGCATGCTTCTTACCTACTGTTGTTATGATTACATGAGGAACTGCTGATGTGTTAATCTGCTGATATTAAGACTACATGCTTAATTACTGATTAAGGGATTGACTGTCAACTTCCAACCTCTGATGCTTATAGCCTGTGTGAACTTTGAGTGAACTTGCTGAAGGAATTTTTGCTTAACTTTTCACGTCAGATAGTGGATGACACAAAGAGCGACAGAGGCTTACTGAAATCACGTCAGATAGTGGATGACACAAAGAGCGACAGAGGCTTACTGAAATCACGTCAGATAGTGGATGACACAAAGAGCGACAGAGGCTTACTGAAATCACGTCAGATAGTGGATGACACAAAGAGCGACAGAGGCTTACTGAAATCACGTCAGATAGTGGATGACCAAAAAACCATCAGATGCATGATGAAAACACGACAGAGAGATGATAAGCAGAAAGCAGAAAACAGCCAGCATGACATCAAGATTGCTGTAAGAAACCAAGCAGTAATGAAAGATGCAACTTTACTAATATTATTCTTATATTAATTGTTTAAAAAATATAAATGTGTGTCAAATTAAGCATGCATAACTTTAAAAAAATACGGTGAGACTGAAGTTGAAATGTAAATGGTGAACTTCCAACTATCCAATAGTATAAAGATATAGAAAGTCAACAATGCAGTAATAAATGACAGCTGGAGCACATTGTTAATTGGTAAAATAACACATGTAAACACAGAGGAAAAGAAGTTCATCACAAGGAAAGGAGGGGGCAAACCAGCCCAGAGGGGGATATATAAAACTGTCTGCAGACCATAGGATTGACTCCATCCTCCGACCTGCAGGGATGTTGTACGGGTTTATCTGTCTGTTTTGGAATAAACTCTTTTGCACCGACTGAAGTTAATAGAGTATTTTTTGACAAAATTTATAAAGTTGGTGAAGGTGGGGTCCAGGCTTAACTGGCCCAGTCTGGTCGTACATCTGACCCAACAGTCTGTAATTTTATTCCAGGTATCGTTGTACTTTACTGTGAACAAGTTAGCATAGCCCTTATTGATCTGAACTCCAATGAGAAAACCAACATTTTAAAAGTTGTTGTCCTGTTGACAGACCTGACAAAGTATGAATTCATATGTTTAACAAATCGGCATCATGCTGTAGGTATTTCTGCATCAGTTTGATCCATTTGTTGCAATTAAATCACAGCAAAATGTTTTCTTTGCATTAATTTAGCTATAGTATTCGCGGGTTGTGTTTATTCGCTTATTGCGTTGTGTGTTAATACTTAACAGCAGTTGTCCAGCGCTAAAAACCCGCGCGAGGAAAGCATTGCGAAGATTAAATTTGCGTTGTATGTGAACACAGCATAAGAGGAGGCCAGAAGAATGTCCTTCATACATTTTTTATGAGTAAACACAAAAATGTTGAAATGTGCTGTAAACTGGAATTGTGTCACTGATTAACTTTCTATTAGCAGAGTTGGATCTATATACTTATTGATATTATATTCCTGGTTAGCACAAGCTAAGAAATCTATGTACTTTATATTGTCTTGATGTTTTGACATGTATAATTTTATTGGCAAATTTGCTACTTCAGAAAACAACATTAAATTGTATTAATTTTTCTGCAGATGACTGATATTTGTACTGTAATTTAACTGTGTAACACTGGGCCTAACACTCGTAAACACATTTGTAATTGTGATATTTCCAGGGACGGATACACGAGCACCACCCACACAACCTACGGTACACTTTATGTAAACAAAGTTACTGAACAATATTTACAATAATAACTTTAGTAAACAGAACAAGGGGAGCATGTTTGGCTAGAAGCCAACACATATTAGCACAATGGCATCCTGATTCTGGCTAAATCTACATCTGTCCACTGCAGATGCACCTTCCACAACCTGGATGAATAACTATAAATTACTGAATTAGTATAATATAACATTAAATAAAAAGTATAATGTTAATTTAATAGTAACCTGTTGTTAGTATAATATATTCATTATATAATGTTACTATATTGATTATAATTTCCTTTAATGGTATACTTCATAGCTTACCTCTAGTATATTAATTCCAGTTACAACAGTTTCACGTTTGTGGGTTGTTTTCATTCATTAAATCTTTGTGCAAGAAAAATGCTTTACATTGGTCTATAATTTTTATGTCCCGCCCCATCCAGGCTGTGATTGGTCGATTGACCAAAAGTGACACTGAGCACATCAGCTTTATGAAAAGTTGAACATGTTTCAACAAAAGGCACTGATATAGCTAAATAGCCAGCTAAACCCAAATGCTGCTTATCTTCTCCTGATTTTCTTCTGTCTCACAGTTTCCACTGGTGCTCCTGGTGGCCAGTCCGACTTTGTTTGGAATGATTAGCTACAAGTTAGCGACATGGTGCGGGGTGATTATGATAGATTGTAGTCTTTACTTGCACACTGTGCTCATGAATAATTTTTATGGTTCCCGATCTATTTGTAGGGTCATATAGGAGTGAAATGGTCCCACTTTAGAACCCGGTGTGGGCGAGGATACAAACTGCAGTGCACACAGAGACAAATTGTCACACGCACAGCACACTTTTTTGTTTAATCGCACACCTTGCGGTCATGTAATCACAAGGGTAATTGAGTAACATCGCAACTACCATTAGAATTATGGTGTAGCCCTACTTTCAATGCGCTGTCTGGAGAAATTGCAGTGTGAATGAGGCACTGGGTGTTTGAAAAGACAGATAAAGTGACCCCCCCGCCCCCTAATTTTTGAATTCAGTGAAAGCTTAAGGTCTCTAAACATAACATAATTACTTTGTCACTTACATGAATTATACTGTTCTGTTACTGACGTGATAATTCCTTCCTTGCTAAGCACAGAATGGTCAGCAGAGGGCGCTCTATGCATTATACTAAGGCATCAGTAGGTAACGCCAGTAAAGTAGAATAAGACGTCAGTATGTGATGAGTAAGTCCAAGAACGCACGCTACAGAGAGCGCTCCTGAATAAATCTGTATTTTCATATTTCCAACAGGTAAGCAAACTGTAAACAGAACCCTGGTGAAAGACATTAGTGTTACGTGGTTTATAGGTACCCCGTAACCTTAATACGAAGCTCTACTGAAAGACCACGACAGTGTGTCGGTTGATCCCACGGCTTTATTTACCCCCCCTCCATCAGGTAAGATGGAGGATTCCTTATTCTGTTTGGGAAACGTCCCTCACACGCTGGAGTCTGCTGACTGGCTTCACACTGGGCTCCTGGTGTGACAGGAGTGTGTGCGGCGTCAGGAACAGTGCTCTCAAGTGCTGGCTCAATTGAGTTGGCAGGTTTTTCAGGAGCCACAGGGGTTGGCGAAAGATGGCATCTGTTTCTTCGCAGAGCGCCCCCGGGCGTCTCAATGATGTAGGGCCTTGGCGTGCCGGCAGTAGACACCACAGTGCCTCTTTCCACTGTATCTTTGACCCACACATGATCACCGGGGTGAAGGTATGACATGTCTGTGTCTTCGGTCATAGATCTGTCGCAGTTTTTGTCTGTACTTTTGTTCTGTCCTTTTCAAGTTGTCCATGTCTGCGCACCCTGGGTTGAGCTTGGATGGAATGACAGGAACTGGTGATCTTATTTTCCTTCCCATCAGAAGCTCAGTGGGACTGTATCCATTTGCCAGGGGAGCAGCTCGATAGGCCATCAGGGCGAGATAAGCGTCGCTGGATTTCTTGAGGAGACTTTTGATTGTCCTCACAGCACGCTCAGCCTCCCAGTTGCTCTGTGGAAAATGGGGACTGGAGGTCACATGACTAAAGCCCCAATCCTGTGCGAAGTTTCTGAAGGTCTCGGATGCAAACTTTGGGCTGTTGTCTGAGCGGACCACTTCAGGTATACCATG